ATGCGTTTATGTTCTAATTAGTGCTTATGTTAATGACCCAACCAATCGTGAACGTAACTATGTTAACCGCTCATTTATACTTAATAGTAGTCCTCTAAATATCAGTATTTTTTACAAACAATGTAAAAAGTGCGAGTCCGACTGGCGCACGAATGGTTCCGTACCGTTATCTATATAAACGGCAAAAAAATCATTTCTGTTGTATGGGGGCGCCACTTAAATATTTTTTACCCCAGTCAGATAATAGCTACCGATCGAGCCGAGGTCTGGCCCTCTCGGGCACCCTCGAATCGGAATGCTAAACGCGTGCTGAGTGACAGCCCAAGCCGAGGTCCCCTCTCGGGGACCCTTGAGCCTGATCACTCCATGGAGCGCCCGCCAAAGCGCCCTAAGAGCTTGGCGGCCTCCCAAACCGGTAACAATAATAGCGTGACGGCCCGAGCCGAGGCTCCCCCGGGAGCCCTCGAGCTTAGTCACCATAACGCGTAATAATAGTACGCCGAGGTTCAGGCTAGGCGCCTCGTGCGCCAGGCCACCTCAAGTCCGTCGGATCTGTGAAGGCCCCTAAGGCCAACAGTGGCCATTATTTTATGTTTATGAGATACAGCCTGGTGACAGACGGATAGACAGATAGCGGAGTCTTAGTAATAGGGTCCCGTTTTGCCCTAAAAATTATAATGGCAGCCTAAAAATTTATTAACAAAATGACGGATTTCTTTAGTGAAAATAACAAGTTTTAAATATTTTTTTCTCGAATACTATAAGCGACCGCCGAATTCTGCTTGTTGATTATTTCATTAATGATTTTTCTTTACCGAATAAAATTTTTGTTTGAAAACGCCCGGACGCCACCGAAGAAAAATACCATATTAATTAGTGTGGTAGGGCCTCGCAACAGTTTTCACTGTTGCAAGAATGGGCAAGTTCGTCCAGGTAAGTACCACGACCTCACAGAAGACCGGGCGTGAAGTAGAACTGTGGTGACACTTCTGTGTATCGTCTGGTGAGTGAGGTACCCAGGGCCCATTTTATTAAAAGGTGGCAACACATCTGCAACCTTACGGTTGTTGGAAATATCCATAGGTGGCGGTTATCACTTAACATCAGATGAACCACCAGCTCGTTTGCCACTTACTCACATAAAAGAAATGAATTTTCAAGCTGCGTGAATTTTCCCCTGCTGGGCAAAGGTCTGGACAGCTATTAGGGTGTAGTCCGTTACGCGACCACAGTGGGTATAGGCGGAATTATTTCGAATGCACACCGGTTTCTCTAAGATTTTACTCTTTATTGTAAAGATTGCAAGTTTAAGTGTTGAGTGCGTAAGAGCAGAGAATCTTCTCGTACTTTTTCTACAAGTTTTAATGTTTAATCTTAAGTGCAGAGATTAGCAGTATAAAAAAAATCTAAAAGAGCCGAGAAGCCTTAGAAGTAGATGGTTGTCTGCCGGCCACAATATGATTGGCAGAATGCCCTTATGTTGCTCGGGTATAATGAACTAATATCAAACGCCCCGATAACAGGCTACGACTGCTTTACAATATATCTCAAGTGCAATAATCTCCTCTGTACAGAGGGTATTAGTGCACTGTCCATCACGACCCCACTGCGGAATGTATTCCATTCACGTACCTATAAAATAAACAGTTTATTGAATTATTAATGACTATGTTTATGTACGATAGGGTCGCATTACTCATCAAAGATTAAATAAAAAAAAATATGACGCGAATAAAACTTGTATAAGTGAGCTGATAAATATGTTCAATCAAATGGCTAGGAACAATTATAAAGTGGTGAATCTGGTATTGATACAATAATGCTGGTGTTAGTTGTTCTCAATTTTCCCTGTGACCGTGTGACTGACGACTTGTATGCCATATTCTAAACTGGAAACGTATGCCAATTGACATCGTTATGTATTATTTTTATAACTTTGAGTAATTTTCCCATATCTAAAATTCTGTTCTGAAATAACGTACTGTTTTAATAATTTAGAGGAGGAGCTTAATGCTGGTCCACTAAAAACGTGAAAAAACGAAACGCTTATAGAATAATAATTATTAGAAGAATAATTGCCTTTCTTCATATAAATGACGAAGTATGAGAGTAAATAAAAATAAATGGCTTAGATAATCATTGTGGTTCAAAAGGGAACTGGTGTCAAATTCAATTTTAAAATAACCACGTGGAATGAAATAAATTCATTGTTATTCATTGTGTGCTAATGAAGCGGAACCAATTCTAGATTTACTTTCTGCACAAATTTCAGGCCAACTCTAAGCGACTGTGTATGTCGATGGTACGTGCCGGAAGTTGTGACGTGTTTGCACGAGTTCGCTGTAGAGTATGGTGCTAACGGATGCATAATGATATGCAACGCTAAGCAAATAAATTAATTAAGTTAACAAAGTTAGTCATAGACATGTAGAATGGACATGTTCTCTACCCACTTATGTTCACCTGAATGTGTATTTAATTTTAATAATTTTAATTTTAAGTCTAACTTCTACAATTAAAATAAATTAATAAAATAAAAACATGTGGAGATATTGAATATGATGAAATGAATAAATTTTTCTATATACTATTCACGTAAGTACATTGTAATGTTAAAAACGACGTATACATATTTTCGCTAGCCAGCATAGAGATTCTTTTTATAGCGCTGTTATTATAACTTTGCCGTAAAGTCAAAGACTTCAAGATAACATAAGAATCGTGTCGACGTGCCGGTAATGAAATATATATATTGGAGTCGACCTTTGATAGCACGATCCACGGCACTGATTTTTTAATGAATAGATTAGAAACTTTTTTTTAATACAAAGAGTCTGCTCCAATATACTGATTTAATACTTTTTACTCAGAAAAGTCTCAGCAGGGGGACACATGAAGTAAAGGTATTTTTTTAATTTTTCTAATAAGACGAAGCTGGGTCGCTACTTTGCTGTCAAAGGTATTGTTCTCATAGATTAGAGAGGTCGATTCGGATTTACAATACATAATGATCGTCTCTATATCTATATCGAAAATATAAATATATTACACTACTTCGTAAGTGCAGTCACTGCTCTACTTTTGCACGCTGTACGGCCACAACGCCTGTCACTTAAGGTAAAGCGGTGTGAAAAATGTCTCATCATATTGCAACTTTATTTGTAATTAAATAGTTTACAACGATATAGTTCTTTATATGGAAGATCACATTCAAATATTCTTTTAATGAATTTGTTCATGCACTTTTGCGGTTTTAATAGTAATTGGTAATATTGTGATGCCTCTGCTATATAAATTATGGGGACGGGAATATATTATAGGCTATTTTCAGCGCTTCATATGTGACTGTGAAAAATTTTATTTGTATTCGAAGTTCAAAGTTCCTTGCTAAAAGTTTTTCAAATCACTACTAATATTTTAAACGCGAAAGTTTGTACGTATGAATGGATGTTTGTTACTCTTTCACGCAAAAACTACTGAATAGATTTTGATGAAACTTCACAATAATATAGCTTATACATCAGAATAACACATGTCCAAAATATAGGTAATTATAAGTGTCAACTAAGAAGAAAAAAATTCAGCCATCTGCGAGATATTCTGGTGTAAAATAAAAAACTGATTGTTAATTCAAAATGGCCGCGCGAGCGAAGCCGCGGGTAACAGGTAGTTTCGAAAAGAGTACGGTGGTTGACGAAAGTTTCAGTGGTTAAACCTGTTGTACTGCGACTTCTTTTGTGCGGTGTATAGACTAGCATCGTAGTGGAGAAGGAGTGCATTAGAACATCGCAAGGTCCATCATAATTAATTTGTTAAATTATTGTTTGAGATTTTTCTTTCCAATTCGACGTAAATGGTACACTTTCGTTTTCGTGTCGCTTGGTGAGCGAGGTTTTACGGTTTGTGTTTTACGGTGGTAGGGCCACGTAGCAGCCTCGGCTGTTGCTCAAATGGGCAGGCTCGTCCGGGTAAGTGCCACGACCTCACAGAAGACCGGCGTAAAGTAGAAGTATAATACTTTTGCGTTTCGTCTGGTGAGTGTGGTGGCCGGAGCCCAATTTTCAAATGGTTGTCAACGCATCTAGAACCCTCGGGGGCAATAGATGTCCATTGGCGGCGGTATTCACATAACATCAGGTGAACCGTCTACCCGCTTGGCAACTTTTCACATAAGAAAAAGAGGTACTCAGTGTTCACTTTTTTAACCTTTGGCAACGCATCTGCAACCTGGTGATATGCAAATATGTGGTGGTAATCTCATAACTACACGTGCATCGCCTGTTAGTTTGCCATCTTTTAACACTAGAAAAAACTTTGATGAGAAAAAATTTGAAATCCCTATATACAGTGGAAAAAAAATTGCTTTTAAATAAGGCTTTGACGTGGAGAAGTAGTCTTCTCTGAGTTGAAATAACTAATTATTTTAGGTATACGCAACTGTGGCACAGGTAAAGGTAAATATAGGCACAGGTAAATATAGGCCATTGGTCATGTCGCCAACACATTGAAAGTTAAGTCATCAAAAATGAGTCATTCGCTTTCGTCATAGGCTTCAAAGTTATATCATCAAAACACTTAAAATTTTTAACATAATAATTTAACATTATTTTTAATACTATGACAAATGTTTTAGTTTCACTTATTAAATTTTATTTACCTAAAGGCCATTAGTTGGTAAAGTAAAACAATAGATTACTTAATGGATTAAAATGAATGAAGACTAATTTCGTTGCAAAAACAACGTCACCATTCTAGTAAAAATAATGTAAATTAAAGTAATTTTTCACGTATTCATTTAGTGGTGTACAATATAGCTAGGACTTTGCATACGTAATGCCTAAAACTACATTTATTGTAACGGAGAAGTCGTTGTTGTGCTTTAATGATTTTCTTGGAGGGGATTGGTTTTAAGGTCACCTTATATGCAGATCGAAAGGATCACCGCCGCCCAGCATTGCTACTTGTATCCATCTCTATAGCAGCACTGTATCACATCGAAAATGATTGCGAGGAAATATTTGCAAAAATTGAGTAAGGACTGTATCAGATGGTGAGTTTAAATGTTTACTGTATTAATCAAAGTTAACAAGTATTTTAAGTTATCACAGGATCAATAATGAAAAATTGCTAAAATTGGTAGACCTTTTCTTTTAGGCCGATCCGATTTAATATAAATAATTAATAAGCCGTGGGGATGAAATAATGTTTTAATTATGATTATTGTTATTTTGCTAACTCCGTGGCGCAATGGCCAAGCTATTGGCTTCGGCGTCGGTGGTCGTGGATTCGATTGCCACACGGAACAACTATTTGTGTGACCCACACATAGCTGTTTCGCATCTGGGTGTTTGTCCGCGTGAAATTTATGTTTGTAAAACGTCTTTACAACACAGGATAAAGTTATCCTAAAGTAAGGGCAAAGTTTAAAAAAAAAACAAGAAAAAAAGTGTAATCAGGATAGTAGGCACTAAATAATTATCAATGTTTTTTAAGATATATTTCCGACATTAAAATATGTATTTCCGACGTTGACAACTGAGCTTGTTTGTGTTTTCTTTTTTTAAGCAAAAGTTGGCAAGCGAGCAGCAGTTCCATGGACATCTGCAACACCTTTTCAATTGTGGGCTCCGGTTATCTCACTCACCAGACGAACGCCAATATAAATCTTCCATTCACGCCGGTCTTCCGTAAGACCGTGGTATACGCGCTATCCATTCAACAGCCGTTGCTGCTGCATGGTCTAAGCTGTTTCAAGTTATTTTACTAAGTTCATTTACGGTGGTGGGGCCACGAATGGGCAGGCCCATCCGGGTAAGTACCACGACCTCACAGAAGAGCAACGTAATGTGGAAGTATGGCAAATACTTTCGCGTTTCGTTTGGTGAGTGAGGTAGCCGAAGCCCAATTTTCAAAAGGTTGTCAACGCATCTGTAACCCTCGGGTGTGGCAGATGTCCATGGGCGGTATTCACTTAACATCAGGTGAACCGCCTGCTCGTTTGACAACTTTTCGCATAAAAAATAAGCAATCCATGTACAGCGTGACCAAAGACTAAAGTATATATTTTATTCATACTACTCTTCGTACAGGGCATCGACTGTGACGAAACCGCCCTCTACCCTGGCACCTCAGTTTTGCGCTGAATTCAATGACTACTTTCCGAAGATATTAGACAAAGCGCTAAACGAGAGCAAGTACATAGATCATCCATTACTAAAGGACAAAATAAGAAAGGTCACTAGTGTGATTGTAAAATATATTGTGCTTAACGTACATATATTGTATTTATAATTAGTTCATAATAAACATTCCAGATGAACGAACACTTTATGCTCTCGAAATTTCCAATTCAAGCTGAATTTTTCTTCTTCTCATACGAATTGCTAGAAAATCCAGAAAACATAACCAGTGACAAGTTGCGGCAAGCGTATTTAGTGGCCTGTGCTTCGGAATTGGTAAGTCTGAAAAAAAGAGGAAAGGAAAATAAATTTATTTACCAAAAAAAGGATGCACACAACAGTAAATTAACAAAAATAAAAGAAATATAAAAAAATTATACAAAACAAAATCAGTACATACTCTCCATATAATATTATAAATGTGAATCTTAGTTTGTTACGCTTTCACGCCAAAACTACTTAACGATTGTCATATCATGTAAAATTCTGACAAGTATGTAATATTGTATTCTTAGAGGTTTTAAAGAGGACATAGGATCCTTTTTATTAAAATAATATATTTATTTAAGAGCTTCAATATGGGCGGAGCCACAAAAACTAACTAAAATATAAAGCTATGAAGTTAATTAAAAACGAAACGAAATAACTTAAATGTTAAACGAAAATAATTGATTGTATGCCCTATTATTGGTAATTTAGGCCAGCTGTTTAGAATCATGTTGTGCCGGAAGTCAAAACCCCAGCGCTGATTTTCAGTACTGACCTCCATGCTTCTTGTTATTTAGATGATTTACTGACCCATACACAGCGAAATAATACTAATAAAGTTATATGACTTATTAAAAAATTAACATTTAACAAAATAAAGTATCTAAAATATTAATAATTATTTTGAAAAAGACGATTGAGAGGTACATTAATAATATGGCGGCTCTTCTCTCCTCTATGAACTCCGTCTTAAAAAAGAAAATTATATTATTAATAAAATATATTAATAATAAAATATAATTTTTTTACCATGTAAAAATTACAGTTCTTTTAAAAATATAATACGATTTGCTATCTTGTGATTAAATACTAATGAATTGTTCAAATTATTAAGAACTTATGCCAAAAAGCTTATCTTGATTTACTTTTGATATTTGTATTAGTCGCTTTTGGGTCAATTGCAATTATCAATCCAACTCACAGACGTGTTAGTGCAATTATTAAACAAACACTTACGTTAATTAATTTTAAGTAAGATGATCGATATTTACGACGCTAATTCATTTCAATTTCACTTAAATTTTGCAAAGAATAATTGCGGTTACATGCGTATAAATTTTATTTCTTCACAGCTATTATGGGTTGCAGATAATAGGCCATAACCTTTTGTGACATGCGTAATTACATAGCAAGAATCACGCCATCTTAGTTTCATATTTAGTATCATGCAACGCTTATTTATCAGCAAGGTGATCAGAACTACACCATCGTCCCTTTTGATCAGCCCATATTGTTTGTAATTAATTCTTGCTTTACACTTTTCTGTCTTTAAGATGCGCTACGTAGTTACTAACGTTTCAATTATTCTCTTACAGGTGCAGATATATTTTCTGTTTCACGATGACCTTTATGATAACAGCGAAACACGTGCAGGAAAACCATGTTGGCATTTGACTCCCGACGCAAGTCGGTACACATTAAATGATACGGTTATGCTACGGGGTTTTATAAATGAACTGTTGCATTCGTATCTTGAACCATCGTTGTACAGAGAGTTTATTGATGTTTTCAACGAGGTTTGATTTATTTTAGTGATTATTATTATTACTCCATATTAGTGATATTCGTTAAAATTTACAATGTCGAAAAAAATTAATACATTGATTTCGATTCTTAGACTTTAGAAATTCGAAATGCCCTTCCTCCACATTAAAAGCAGTTCTATGGATATCTGCGGCGGAGTCTATTTCAACTTGATAAAATCTAATGTGCAAGCATTGTCAAGTTTCCCTAGCTTGTCGAATACGTCAAAAATTTTCTACATATTTTAATACGTCAAATATATTAAAAACAGGATATTTTTCGTCCGTCGTTTTTCTTTTAACTTCCGCAGTGTTACTACAAGACATATTATTTTACGGGAAGTGTCAGACTTTTTGGGTAAGATACAAATAAGAAAACTCCAGGCTGAGTAGGTCTAATTATATTTTGTTCAAGGATCTTTTGTTTGGTCTTTAGATTAGGGACTTAATTTCTTACCATGTCCATATCTTATTAGGTACCTAATTTCTTCTCGACATAAGGATACTTTTTTTTTGGGAAAAAAGCGGAGCTCACCTGATGGTAAGTGATCACCGCCGCCCATGGACATGCAACACCAGAGGGCTTACAAATGCGTTGCCGGCCTTTTAGGAAGGATGTTTACTTTGGATGTTATAATTTGCACGCATTAATTATCGTGTGCATCTGTCCTAGATGGCTATGGATGCGGGGTATAAGGGCAGGAAAAAGAAGAAGATATATCATAATCAATTATCAATTTATGTCTTTCCTACAGATGTTTTTAGGTCTCGCAATGGGACAGTATCTTGATTTGTTAGTACCTGCGACGAAAGACTACAACAGCTACACTATGGAAACGTATGAGAAGATCACATATTTGAAAGCATCCGTTTATTCCATGAACTCCCCAATGCTCTTAGCTTTGGTTATGGCCAATAAGGGGAGTGAAGAATCATTACAACTTGTTAGAAAGATGTGTAATAATCTTGGAGTGTTATTTCAGATCCACGTAAGTTTACGTATTTTTATTTATTTTATCTTTTTAAGTAATACATTATTTTTACATATTTCAATACTAAATAACATCTTACAATTACCTAAGGAGATCTGAGCTAAAAGTCACAGTTTTCAAAATATTTTAATGTTCCATTTAATTTAATTATTTTATTAATGTTATGACAGACATTGGATTTTGCAACTAAACTAAAAACCACAATGCAAAATGTTACAAGTTGCCTATTGCGGGGAAATTTCCGTATATAAAATCACATAATTTCGTTTAAATTTGAAAATATTTTAAGACCAGAAGCCAAAATGTAAAATAAAAATTTACTGTGTATTTTATTCGCATAACTCTTCGCTAATCACAATAACTAATGACAAAAAGTAAGAAATCAAGCGCAAATTATAATCGCTTTTACTTACTCAGAACGATCTCACCGAATATATGGACGTGGATCAAACAATGACGCTAAAATCGAACACCGACATAATAAATGGGAAGTGCGCGTGGACAGCTGTTGCGGCCTTGAAACATTTCAACGCGGAACAGAGGAAGATTTTCGATGAGTGCTACAAAAGCTCTGACCCGGAGAAAATTAAACGTGTGCTACGGTTGTACGACGAAGTGAACTTGCGAGACCTGTACAGGAAAGAGGAGAAGGCACGCTACGATGTGTTCTTGGAGAAGGTTAGCAAACTGCCTGCAGACAGTGTACCATCCCCCGATTTCTTTATGGGCATACTGAGGTACTTCCAGAGTTACGCAACCAACATATCAAGATATTATTACATTTAAACGACTACCTATTTCAGTTGTGTGAATCATATTTGAATAAAATGAACTTTATAAATTTCTCAGTGATTTTTTATCTCAAAATTTCAAATAAACAGAGTATTTACCGAAACATGTCGTGAAGAATTAAAAATCTTATATAGTGTAAAGTACTAAGTGTAAAATCCTAAGTAGTGTACCTTGGTTTTAAATTGTTTTTTATTTTAAAATAACCATGAACAATTTTGTACAGGGCTAGGCTCTGAACAAAAACGTCATTTTAAAATTTAAGTATGGAGCATTTTAAGAAACGTAGGTAGATTTTGTGTTAAATAATTACTAATTTAACAACAAGTTGGTTGTTGCATATATTGGATATTTAATTTTACCTTTTAATACTCGGTGGTACAGTTTCTATTCGAAAGCCTTGGTTTTGATTCCCATACGACACAAGTATTAAATTTATGTGTCCCACAGATAATGTTTCTGGATGTGGGTGTACGTTTCTGTTAAAAGTTGGGTTATAAATATTTTAGTAGGCAATACTGATCTAGAGTATTTCTATTGGTTTATGGCGGCAACACCTACAACAATATAAAAGGCTGTTCGGTTGTTAGTTTGACGTTTTGGAGTGACAGACTTAACACGTTGTCTTGAGTTGCTTCGAGCTAGTGAATTGAGTTAATTGTAATAGAAGTGATTATAATAAATTTAAGTGTAAATTCGGGGTGCATCTTTACATTTCCAAGGAGGGTTGAAGTTAGACAGGCAACCGGTCGTGAAAACATAAACAAAACCACTTACAACATATGACACACAACTTGTGCTGACCCTTGGTTGGACAAGGGTAAGAGGATGATGATGATTGTGAACGATCTTTGAGTAACGCTAATTGGTACTAACAAAATGTTCTTACGTTTTTAAATCGATGATCGACTGCTAACTGGTTCGGTATGGATTGTTTTTCTTTTGTCCGTAAACCAGTTTTTCTTTTTCCGATAGTCGCAATTAGTTCAGTCGACCCAAAAATTCAATGTTTATCCAGGTTTTTAAAAGCTTAATTTCGTGATCCATGATTATTAAGAGACTTCATATTTTTTTTTATTGGATTTCTTTTTTTGGTGGAAAGGAGATATCCCAAGGGTGGTACCATAATAAGGAAACCCGGATCTGATGATGACATCCCAGAAAAATCGAGAATAATCCATAGTAATCAAAATTTTTTTAGATTCCGGTTTGAAGTCGGTGTTTTTTGTTAAAAATTATACTTGTTAGACGCCAAGTCGACTCAAGTCGATTTCATGATCATTTCAGGTCGATTTGATCGACTTTGTAAAAAAGCAAATCATCCCATCGCTATGACAATCACACGCAGTGTTGCTAGGCAGAGAGATTAAAAATGTTTTTTTCAGAGCTTTGAAACATAGTGATTTGGTACTGGCTCATGGAGCGTACTACTTGTAAACCCATCTCGGACAAGGAGAAGTATAATTCAATCCACCCGCAACCACAATACATTTTACCGTTATTAGTAGTAATAGTGTAATAGTTTTCTGTTCAAAGGTGTTACAGGTGGTACCTCTCGTTCATATAAAATCGACGTGGCTCACCGGCTAACCCCAGGAATTCAGTGGTTACGGTGCATCGCACACGGGCCCAACGTATAAGTATAAATTCATCTTGTAGAGCACGCCGGCTCATCCGTACCACAATTCTACGTGGTCTCGTAGTAACTTCTTCTTGAGAGCTACAGATAGTGTTACTAGATCTGCGTTAATTGCCAACACGCTCAGCATGGACTATTTCACGCTGATCAAGATCAAGACCAGTGTCATTTGCCATTGCGAAATAGGCGTATGTATTTCCAATCGTTATCTTTGTTAATGTGACTACTGTCTTCGACATCCTGACACTTTACCGGTGTATTGGAGTTGTCCCCAGCACGAGGAACTTTACTTTTACAAGCTGGACACATCCACGCAGTTGATATCTTTGCCTTTTCCGATAGGTTAAGACAGCCTCGATGATATGAGAGATCACATTTGCCACAGGTCACGCCATCTGTCGCCGACAGGTAGCGGCCGCAAGCTCCACACTGCCATTTTTATATAATTATTATGCAACTAGTGACCAATAGATGGCACAAAGCAAATATCCTTAATGTATGGAAAGTTAAGTCTTTATTATGGACACAGTGTCTAATGATGTCGTACAAAAATTAAGTATATAAATCTGAGATAAATTCAGAACGTAGAACAAAAAGCCTGCTCGTGTCTACGGTTTGTAAAGTCGAAATAAAAACAAAAAAGTACATGTTACAAATAACGCATAACCGCATATCCAACGATAATAAATATAATATACTATTTATAAATAATGCCGTGATAGCTCAGTGTCCGGGTGTTCGCCTTTAATTCAATATACTCGCAACCTGAGTTCGATCCCCGGTGCCGGCACCAATGAAATTGTTAATTTTAAGTGCCAAATTATCACGTGCTCAGCTGTGAAGGAAAACATTGTGATGAAACCTGCATATTTTCGCAAAAAAAAAAAAAACATTCGAAGATATGTGAAGGCCGCCAATCCGCAGTGGGGCCGTGCCCTCTATATAGAGGAGGCCTTCTTTGCCTAGCAGTGGGACATGTATAGGCTGATACTTTTACTTTTTATAAATAATCACTTTTATATTATAAAAGCCTATTATATAAAAGCACATTATTCGCTATTATTTTAAAAAAGCAAACAAATCAGCGACCAGCGACTTGCGTCAATTTCAAATTTCGATCTGTCAACACCGATTTAGAGGCGAGATTGAATGGCCCGAATCGTAATGTTTCTTTCTCACTTAACATCAGGTGAACCTTCTGCTCACTTGGCAACTTTTCACATTAAAAAAAAAGTCTACTTAGAGTTGGGTTAGGTTTTAGAAATTAAAAAATTTTGTAAATTATTCGGTCTTGACCTCTTACCATTCTCTGACTATCTATGATTTTTCTATATCAACTTCTATTCTGCACTAAGATGCCTCCAAAACTGAATTACTTACTTTTTTTGCTCCCATCTTCACTTTGAGTTACATAAATTACAATAACAAATGTGTTTTGTCAGGCAGAATGAGATTAAAGGCAATGTCGTATGAATATTAACAAGTTGGTACGTTACATTGTTCAATGTTTGTAATTCTTAAGTACATTGACAAACACAAATAAATAATTTTGGAATATTTGTAATATTAAAATAAGCGCTTTTTACTAAATGCATATGGTATTTACTAAATGTGTACACGGTATATATACTACCAAAATAACATTTTTTACAATGTGTATAATAGTAATTATTCATTATGTTTAGTTAAACTGGTCTTTGTATCGACCCTAAACTCTGTATATGTCATTCAACGATGGTTACATAATATGCAGTAAATCTTCATTCCAAGTATACAATACTAATTGTAAAATGTACCAAATACACTAGAAAACTCTAGAATTCATATTATATAGTGATTGTATGACGGTCCTTTGATCAATGTTTTTTAAGACTAGCCGTTACCCGCGACTACCTCCGTGCAGAAAAGAGTGAAAGCGTAACGTTCAGACAGATATACATTTAAATATCTATTCATATGCAACATTCATGGGCTAGTACATATAGATTGTCCGTATTACTGACCCACAAGCACGCTAACCACACTTACCAAGAATGTCCGGAAGACTCGTTTGGCCATTCTTCTCTGAAAGGAAGGAAGCCTTCTCTCTATCCAATGTTTTGGTAAAAATCTAAGATGTGAATGACTTATGTATTTGAGGCTAGAGATAAGAACGATTCGGTGAGTCTCTTTTGCCGGTTTTAGTTCCTCGAGTTCCCCATTAGCTTGTCATCAAGACGTATGTAGTGTCGCTAACCCGAGCCGCCGTACGTTGTATGCGGTCAAATGCAAGTAGCTCGTACTAGGGGGCTCACGCCCAGAGATGAATGAAAATAAAATTGTAAAAACATTATAAAAGTGAATTTTAGGAATTCAGCAACGCCATCTACTTTTTGCGTTTTTTTTAGTTTTTGACATCTACTTTTTTTTGCATCTACTTTTTTCGAGTCCAGTTTGGAAATGCGGTGACTTTTTGAACGAAATTGATTTCCATCTTAAAACAGCTCTAGAAAAATTTCTAAATTTATCTCTTAATGAATTAAGCTGGACTCGAGCTACGCTGCCGAATCGTTTTGGTGGTATCGGTGTAAGGAAAATTTCTAGTGTCGCTCTACCTTCCTTCCTTGCTTCCGTGCATAGCGTAAATAACTTATGTAATAACATCCTTATTCACGATTCAGAACTTTCCTATACAGAGGAGGCACGGATGTCTTGGCTGTCGATCTGCTCCAACGAAAATATCCCACTGGAAGTAAACCTACAAAAATACTGGGATGTTCCTTTGGTGCAGAGAGTATAGAGAGATACGTTTCAATCTTTAGAAAGTAATTTAGAGCGTGCCCGTTTCCTAGGCGTCTCATCTAAAGAATCGAGTTATTGGCTCCATGCTTTACCATCAAGTAACTTGGGCACATTACTTGACGATGAAAGCTTACGCATTGCTGTAGGAATCCGTCTGGGGGCACCGATATGTCAACCACACCAATGCCCTTGTGGTGTCAGTGGAGACAAATTTGGTCTCTACGGGCTTTCTTGTCAAAAAGGTGCTGGCCGTTTTTCCCGCCACGGTTCCCCGAACGACGTCATCCGTAGGGCTCTTGTTTCCATCAATGTTCCATCTATTTTAGAGCCCTGTGGCATTTTTTTCGACGATGGTAAGAGACCCGACGGTTTAACATTGATTCCTTGGGCGAGAGGCAAAGCTCTTGTTTGGGAGGCCACTAGTGTAGACACTTTGGCTGCCTCTCATCCAAGGGGTACTTCCGTCAGGCCCGGGGCGGCATTGGAGGCAGCTGATGTAAGTAAATGGCGCAAATATGAGTCTTTATG